TTCTTCTAATTGAACATCTTTGTTTTTATTATTATATTGTTTATCATATAAAATCCTTTTCCAATGCAATAAATACAACAAATTTTAATGCCATAGTTATTGTGTAAATACTTTGTGTATTGTAAAGAAAACCAAACAAGATATAAAAATTCAATGTCATACAATAAAAGAATGAATTTCAATAACAATAAATTGAAAAGAAATAAAAATGATAATGATAAATGAAATACAAAGGAAAAATTGATTAGAAGACGAAAGATACAAATGAAAACAAATAAGAAACAAGATAAATACAATAATAATAAAGATTGCACCCATAACAAATATAAATGAATAACAATAAATGATATACAAGAAATAATAAAAAGAATAACAAGTGAATGGAAAAAGGAGAATAATCAGAAATACTTAAAAAATATGAAGGTAAGAGGAAAAGATTGTATTATATTCAACAAGAAGTATATTCAATCAAAAAAGATAAATGAAAGAATCAAAGAAGAAAATAAAGAAAACAAAATACAATGAAGAAAAAGACATTAAAACAAATGAAGAAGAAGTTAAAAACAAAAACACAAATAAAGAAATGAATGATAGATGGAAAATTACAAAGAATAATAAATAACAAACAAAACATAATAAAAATACAAGAAGAAATACAACAAAATAAAGAAATAGAATTTTAATTGAATTGATGTATTGAATTAATTGGTTAAATAAGAAATTATATAAGAAATGAAGAAATGAAGAAATTGAAAGTATAATAAAAGCAATAAACATCAATGTCAATAATGAAAAAGAATATATTAAATATATTAAAATATCACATAAAATAAAAGAAAATACTAAACGGTACATTAAAGTGAAAGTAAATGATATAATAGAAGAGTAGAGTGCAATTCAATAATAAAAACATCATATTAAAGAATAGTTCTACAGAAATTGATGAAGAATATCTTAACATTCTCATCAATAAAGTAAAAGAAATGAAAGTAGAAAAATGTACAAATATTAATTACTATATTCAAAGAAAAGAAGCTAACGAATTAATAAGAGGAAATAATAATAGATGGATAATTTCAGGAAGCAGAATGCATGAAGTGCAAGATGATATGAATAATATTTCAATGTGTATGCACCTCTATCTCCAAAATAAAATAATAAGAGATAAATTTGATGAAATAAAAGAAATATAAAGAAAATTAATAGACTAGAAGATCTAGTCAATGGAAGAAAATGGTACAGAATATAATGCAACATGAAATTAAATGAATATTCTGAAGAAGGAATAAAAGTCAAAGCACTAGAAAGAATAAAATACATAAAATATATGATGACAATGATAAAAGAAAGAATTAAATTCAATAAAAATGAAATAATAAGAATCAATACAAATAAAATCATGTTTAATTCTAACAAGAAAATTAGAATAAGGAAGAAACAAATAATGAAATATACCCAAATAACGATATTACTTTAGAATAATGGAAATATTATATGAAACACAGGTGATATTAAATAAAGAGAAATGGAAAATAAAACAAATCACCTCGTGGAATGAAAGATATATCAATTATGATAATGTCATTATAACATTAAATGAATTAAATTTAAGTATAATGAAAATAAGTAACTGGAAAGCACCAGGAATAGACACTATATATGGTATTATTGGAAAAGAATGTCATCATCAAGAGAAATCATTCTCAATATATTTAATGAATGGTTGCACTTCCCTGAAAACATCCCATTAGACATGGTAAGTGGAAGAACTTTATTAATCCACAAAGTGATATGAATGATGTCACTAATTATCGTCCTATCAGTTGTACAAATGTAATTATGAAAGTATTTACATCAATATTAAAAGAAAAGATTCACATTAGACTTAACATGAATTGTGAATCATTTAAAATCAGTAAAAATCAATTGAGATGTAAGTTACAATCTTTAGCTGCAAAGAATGAATAATTAATAGTTATATGATGAAGCAACAGAAAGAAGAGAAATACCCAAAATATGTGGAGTCATATTATGACATTAAGAAAGCATATGACACTGTCAACCACGAATGGGTAATTGAATCATTAAAGTATTTTAATGTAGAGGGTGTCATCATTGACATTATTGAAAGTATGATGACTAGATGGAAGATATTCATCGGCTATAAATATAATGAATATCTAGGTAGTATTAAATTAAATAGAGGAATTTTACAAGGTGATTCATTATCAAATCTACTCTTCATCATACAGATGAATGTAATTTCTCAATTCATCGAAGAGAAATTCCCAAAAACAAATCACATATTATATATGGATGAAATAAGAATAATGGCGCAAAGTGGTGAAGAAATGGGAATAATCTACAACGAAATTGATGATATAATAAGTTACATATTGAAATGAATGAGAAAAAGTCAGGAATGGTATTAAAAACATTAAAGAAATACCAAATGGAATGCAAAACATCCCAGTCATTGAAGGTGAGGACTTGTATAAATACTTAGGAATATGGCAGTCCGATGAAATTGATGACACCTTCAATTGTAAAACCATCAAAAAAAAAATGAATCAGAAGATGGAAGAAATAAACACTGATGAAAGTAGTAATAGAAGATATATTACTAGAATAAACACGGAAGTAATCAATATCTTCAGACATTCAGTATCAGTTGTAAATTGGAAAGGTAACTTAGATAAAATTGATTTGGAGATAAGAAAATATTTAAGAAAGGGAAAATACATTATCATAAATGAAAAAGAAAAATAAATAAAATAACAAAAACATCAAACAATTAAAATTATTCTTCTATTACTGGTTTTATTACATTTTGTAATATTTCATTCACATCTGAGTTAGTTCCACATTGTTTTAATATCTTATACACTTTTAATGGTGCAATGATTTCATCAATAAGACATTGATATAATTCTTTATACATGTTTTTCTTAATATAATTAATAACATCTTTTTGCTTACTATTTTCTCTTACAATATTTTTTAATTGAGGGAAACATTCTGTTAAAGCATCTCTTGCACTGTCATATGTTTGTGATTGAATTTCTTTTTGACTACTGTCATAACAAAGAACTACAATCGTAAGAAGTATATTACAAATAACTGCACTACTTATTCCAAATAATTGAAATTCACTTCGTATATTTAAAGTAAAGAATACAACAAATACTAACATAAATACTGCTCTTAAATTTCTCATTATTGCTCTATTAAATTGGTCTATTGGTGTTAAAGAAATTATTCCTTCGATTACATCTTCTGCACTTTTCATTCTAACTTCAGTCTCATGTCCAAGTTCATGAGTTTGTCTTAATAAATATTGTGAATAATATGTCCATTGTTTTTTTAATAATAAAGATGGAGATAATAATATACCAAAGTATTTTAAACATAATACAATTAAATTGTATAATAATTTTATTAATACAATAGGTTGTATATACCATCTTTTATATTCATTTACTTTATTTTTAATTCTCTCTTTCCATTGATTTACATTTGGAATATGAAATTTATGTTCTTCTTGAATAAGTGATTTATAAAAATCTATTTCTTTATTAGGGAAATAAATATCTTTAATAATCTTATATAAATAACGACTTCCTTTTCTTAATTCATTTTCTCTTTGTGTAATTAATTTACTCATTAAGTCATTACTTAATGTACATCTTTTAATAAATAAATTTTCTTCTTTTTGTTTACTTTTCTTTGGTAATTCTTCTAATCCTTCTATTTTAACTTCTCCTTCTTCTTGTTTAACATCTTTTATTTCATTGATTGATTCACTACTTTCAGAATCATTTTCCATTTCAACATCTCCATCAAAATATCCTGATGTCATAATAAGTGTACTTGTAGTAAATCCTTCAGGGTCAAGTTCAGTTTCTGTACTTTGTGAATATCTTAACATTCTTTTTACTTTATTCCAATCTCCTCCAACAGACAAAACTTTTCTATCATTAAAAAATTTATTTGCATTTAATAAATTTTCATCGTTCATTATTTTATATAATTTATATCCATAATATATTAATGAAATAATTACAAATATTCCAACAATACTTACAAGTACATTTCTTAATCTACTTGTTACAAAAAAGTCAAAAAATGCTGGTAATGTTCCATCATTTGTTGTAATTGGTTTTAGTGGAAATCCAATAAATGTAGAATAATCTAAATAAATCAAGAAAATACCAAGAAATGCAATAACAAATACTTGAATAATTGGATAACATTTTAATATTAATAAATTATAATATCCTTGAACTCTCCATAATTTATAAAACCAAGGAAATGATGGTTCTGGACAATTGATTGATTCGATCTGATCTTCTTTGTTATCAATTAAATTATAATTTGGTTGGGTTAAATCTTCTCCTGACATTAACTAAAAGATCTTAGATCCATTATACCTCATATAACAATTTTTTTTGTTATTATAAATTGTTATTTCTTATTACTTATTTCACATAAAATAAAAAGAATTATTCAATTCTAATTAACTCCTTTCTCTTTTCTTTTGTTAATGTACTACATCAAATAATTCTCTTCTTTCACCATATTCTGAATAAAATCTTTCAAAACCTCCTCGAAGAATTCTTATTTGAACATGACTTTCTTTGTATTTTTCTTTCTTAAAACATTCATTTAATATCATTGCACATGTTGGTCCTCTTGTTTGTGACATCATGCAATGAATAATAATCAAATCATAATCTTTGTATATTGAAGCTAATGATGTTGCCGTTTCTTTAAAATTAGGTGATGGAATATTGATTGCAGTATGTATCACTAAGTCACCAACATCATTTCCACGTACATCAATAATAATAAACCTTTTCTTATTACTATTGCTTGTAATTAGTTCAACAACATCTTTACAATTGATATAATCAAGACGTGATGGAATTATTGACATACAACTCATTTTTTTTAAGTTCTTCTGAAAATTATATCAAACAAAAGAACATTAAACAATAATATTAATTGAATTGATAAAAATATTGGATGGCTTTAGTATTAAAGTTATCAAAAACTGAATCAAGAATTTCATAATCTTCTTCATTGACTAATTCTTGTATAAACACATTAAAAAATGATGATGAGTTAATCTCTAATAAATTCACTTTCCAATCAATTCCATTTGTTATAACTTTAATTCTTCCAGTTGAACCAATACGTTCTCCATTTTCATTTGCTCGATATATCATTCTAATTGTAAAATGATCATTAGTAAAATATGGATTCTTATCAAAAAAGAATGATAATTCCTTTCCCATTTTGATTGTTAATGACTTCATATCAAATGATGGTGTTAATGTTGTTATTTTGATATCGTTGAGGTACGACAAAGCAACTAAATCTTCTTCTACTGTATTATAAGATAAGAACAAACTAACAGCATTTAATGCTCTAATCCAGAAAAATGGCACTCCTTTGTTATTAATTTGTGGTTTTGGTGAAGTAACATCATCATTTTTTATTGGTTTGCTTTGTTGGGACTCTTCACTTTTCTGGTCAGATAACCCCACAACAACATCCTTTCTCCTTTCATTTAAAATTTTCATCATCTTTTCATATTCCATAGTTTTATAGACTTTTTTTACAGTTAATTCTGCTTGTGCTATTTTCAATGATCTATTAGTTTCTTGTAATAGTTTTCTGTTAATAGACTCATCTTCAGGGAGTTGTGAGGATTGATAACTCATATTGGTTATTAAGTTCAGTAAATTACACAATAACTTCCTTTTCATCAATCAATCTTCTTATAAAACAAAAATATAATTATGTATAGTAAAATATAATTTAAGGAAACTATATTGGAAAAAAAGAAAAAAAAGAGAAAACCCTAAAAAACTAAAAAAATTAATTCTTAGGAGATGGCAACAGGAAAGAATAAGAAGTATAAGGCAGGAAACGTTAAGAAGGGAAGCAAGAGAAAGATTGCTGAGCCATTCTCCAAGAAAGAATGGTACAATGTTAAAGTACCAAAGAACTTCAAGAGAAGAACCGTCGGACAAATCGTTGTTAATAAAACAGCTGGTACTAGAATTGCTTCAGAACAACTTAAAGGAAGAGTTGTTGAAGTAAATCTTGCTGATCTCATGGAAAATGAAAAATTTGGAGCATACAACTACAAATTTAAATGTGAAGATGTTAATGGAAAAGATTGTCTTATGATTTTCCATGGACTTAAACTCACAACTGATAAATTAAGATCAATTGTTAAGAAGTGGTGTACTCTTATTGAAACATCAGTTGATGTTAAAACTACTGATGGACATTTAATTAGAATCTTCTGCATTGGATTCACCAGCAGAAAGTCCAACCAAATCAAGAAAACTTCATATGCTAAAAGTGCTCAAATTAAGAAGATTAGAAAGATTATGAACAATCTTATCACTAAAGAAGCTGCTTCACGTGAACTTACACAATTTGTTGATTATCTTAGAGAAAACAAACTTCCAAAAGAAATTGTTGCTAAATGTAGCAAAGTCTTCTCAATGGACAATGTCTACATTCGTAAAGTTAAGATTCTTAAGGCTGGTAAAATTGATTCACTTAAACTTCTTGACCAACATCAAGACACTAGTGCACCAGTTGAAGCTGCCCCAGTTGCTGAAGAAAAAGGAGAAGTTGTTGAAGCTTAATTGAAGAATGTCGGTTATTAAAAATTTCTGTTATAGCATAAAACATTTTCATTCAACTAAATGCTTTTAAATTAAATTATTTGAAAAAAGAAAACTTCCTTTCTCTTTTTCAGAAAATAACTCATAAATTCTTTTATTTAGTTCAATGAGTAGAAGAACCGGTATTCAATTGGGAGCTCGACGTAAAGCCGAACCACAAACAACACCTAAACCAGAAGACAAACAACCAGATGTAATGCCTCCACCCCCCTCTGGAGAAGCACCTGTTCCAGAACATAGAGAACGAAAAGCATCATTTCTTACTCGACCAAAAAAGGGAGTAAATACAAATGACTCAGAACAACAAGACCCACCCACACAACAACCAGTTGAGAAAGTACAACAAAGAAAAGGATTCCTTTCAAGAAGAAGTGAAACACAAAGTCAAACAAATGAACTTGTCTCAACTCCACCTCATGAAAAGTCAGGTGATGAAGCAAAGAATGAACAAAAACAAAGCTCTTCTCAAACAAGCGAATCTACAGAAAAAGAGACTCATAAAAAAAGACTTAGTTTCTTGGGAAGAAAAAGTTTTAGTAAAAGAAATTCTACTGAAAATACTGGACATAGCTCTTCTGAACATTCTGCTACATCAAGTCTAGCATCTGAAACTACTGCAGAAGAAGTTAATAGATCAGTTAATGCACAAATTGAAGAGGAAAACAAAAGGTTACAAAACGAGAATGAAGAATTAAAAAAGAAATGCGATGCACAAGACTCATTACTTAAAACAAAAATGAAAAGTGAAATGGAAGCTAAAAAGAAAGTTGAGATATTAGAAAATGAAAAGAAAGATTTGATTGATAAGATGGCTAATGAAAATGATGGAATGAGTAAATTAAATGAGGAATTAACTCAAATTAAAAATGAAAAAGAAAGCATTAATAATGAACTAATTCAAACTAAACAAGAAAAAGAAAGTATCAATAATGAATTAACTCAACTTAAAACTGATAATGACCAAAAAGAGAATGAATTGAATCAGGTTAGACATGAAAAAGATGAGGTAATTGAAAAATTTAACACTAGCAAAGAAGAAAATGAAAAGATTATGAATGAGCTTAGTCAACTCAAGCAGGAAAAAGAAGAAAAAGAGAATGAATTAAAGGAACAAGTTAAGAAAATGGAAGAAGAAAAATCAAAGTTAATAACAGAATTATCAAATGGAAGTGATGGTATTTCTAAATTAAATGAAGAATTAACACAAACTAAACAAGAAAAAGAAGAAATAAACAATGAACTAAATTCAATTAAAGAAGAGAAAAAGAGAATTGAAGAAGAGAAAAATCAAATTATAAATGAAAATAAAGAAATTAAAGAAGAAAAAGAAAAAATTGAAGAAGAGAAAAAAGAATTACTCAAAGAAATTGAAAAAGAAAAAGAAGGAAACAATCAATTACAGAATGAAATTAACACCATTCAAACACGAATGAAAGAAATAGAAGAAAAGAACCAAGAAATTATTTGTGATAACAACAAAGAAATTGCCAAATTCAAAGAAGAACAAGAAAATCTTCAAAAAGAATTAAATCAAATTAAAGAAGAAAAACAAAAAACTGAAAATGAAAAGAATGAATTAGTTGATGTAAAGACTCAAAAAGAGAATGAGCTTAATAAATTAAAAGAAGAAAAAGAACAAATATTTAATGAAAAGACAACAATAGAAAATAGCTTAAATCAAATAGTTGAAGAAAAGAATAAGTTAACAGAAGAAAAAGAAAGTATAAAACAAGAATTGGATAGTATTAAAGCAGATAATTCAACTAAAGAATTAGAAATTAATAAAATTAATGAAGAAAAAAATCAATTACAAAACGATTATGACACAGTCCAACAAGAAAAGGAAAATATTCAAAAAGAATTAAACCAAATTAAAATAGAAAAGTCACAAAAAGAAGAAGAATTAAATAAAATAAAAGAAGAAAAACAACAAGTAGAAGATGAAAAAGCTAAATTAATAACAGATATTGCTAATGGTAATGATGGACTGACAAAGTTAAATGAAGTAATTGATAAATTAAAAGATGAAAAGGAAAATATTAGTAATGAGCTTAATCAAATAAAAAATGAAAGAGATAATATTTCTAATGAATTTAATAAAACAAAAGAAGAAATAAAACAAAAAGAAAATGAAACAATACAATTAAATGAAGAAAAAAGTGTTTTATTAAATGAATTAAACCAAATTAAGGAAGAAAAACAAAAAATAGAAGATGAAAAAGCTGTTATTCAACAGGAAAAAGAAAATGAAATAACAAAGTTAAATGAAGATAAAACTGTAATAGAAAATGAATTAAATCAAATTAAAACTGAAAAACAAGAAATAGAAAATGAATTAAATCAAACTAAAGATGAAAAACAAAAGATAGAAGATGAAAAATCAAAGTTAATAACAGAATTATCAAATGGAAATGATGGTATTTCTAAATTAAATGAAGAATTAACACAAACTAAACAAGAAAAAGAAAACGTTTTAAATGAACTTAATCAAATTAAAAATGAATTTGCATCATTTAAAGAACAAAATACTCAAAAAGAAAATGAACTTAAAGATGAAAACAATAAAGTTCAACAGGAACTTGAACAAAAGAATAACGAAGTATCAAAATTAGAAGAAGAAAAAGGAAATATTTCCAATGAGTTAAGTAATACAAAACAAGAATTAGAACAAAAGAAGCAAGAAATAATCACTATTACTCAGGAAAAAGAAGAAAAAGAGAATGAATTAAAGGAACAAGTTAAGAAAATAGAAGAAGAAAAATCAAAGTTAATAACAGAATTATCAAATGGAAGTGATGGTATTTCTAAATTAAATGAAGAATTAACACAAACTAAACAAGAAAAAGAAGAAATTCAAAAAGCATTAGAAGAAGAGAAAGAAAAATTAGAAAGAATAGAAACCGAACTTAAAGAAATCAAAGAAGCAAAACAAGAATTAGAAGAAGAGAAAAATAAAACTATTGAAGAAAAAACAAATCTTCAACAAGAATTAAATGAGAACAAGAAAATTGTTGAAGAATTAACACAAACTAAACAAGAAAAAGAAGAAATAAACAATGAACTAAATTCAATTAAAGAAGAGAAAAAGAGAATTGAAGAAGAGAAAAATCAAATTATAAATGAAAACAAAGAAATTAAAGAAGAAAACATAAAGTCTATTGAAGAAAAAACACAAGAGATTAATTCATTAACAACATCAATAGAAGAATTAAAGGGCCGTTTAGAAGAGTCAAAAGGAGAACGAATTGAAATTGAAAAAGAAAGAGATAGAGTTATTTCTGAATTAAATGACATTAAATTACAAAATGAAGGGATGAAAAAACAAGTAGAAGAAGCACATAATAGAATGACTGAAATGCAGAAGTCTTTTGAAGGGTCTGAAAATGAAATGATTAATTCATTGAATAACCAAATCACACAGTTAAACGAAAAAGAGAAACAAATGAATGAACAGGTTATGGCATTACAAACACAATTATCCCAAAGTAATATTAATTTAGAAGAAGTTAAAAAAGACCTTATTGAGTCACAAAATAAATACACTCAAATTAATGAAGAAAAAGATTGTGTTGAACAAGAACGAAACAAAATAAACGAAGAATATAAAACAGTTAATGAAGAACTTGAAAAAAATAAGAAAGAACTTAATGACTTACAGACTAAATATGATAATGAAATTCTTGAATTAAATAAGAATAAAGATGAATTAAATAGTCTAATAAACAACTTAAAAGAAGAAAAGACTAACTTAGAAGAACAAGTTAAGAAAATGGAAGAAGAAAAATCAAAGTTAATAACAGAATTATCAAATGGAAGTGATGGTGTTTCTAAATTAAATGAAGAATTAACACAAACTAAACAAGAAAAAGAAGAAATAAACAATGAACTAAATTCAATTAAAGAAGAGAAAAAGAGAATTGAAGAAGAGAAAAATCAAATTATTAATGAAAATAAAGAAATTAAAGAAGAAAAAGAAAAAATTGAAGAAGAGAAAAAAGAATTACTCAAAGAAATTGAAAAAGAAAAAGAAGGAAACAATCAATTACAGAATGAAATTAACACCATTCAAACACGAATGAAAGAAATAGAAGAAAAGAACCAAGAAATTATTTGTGATAACAACAAAGAAATTGCCAAATTCAAAGAAGAACAAGAAAATCTTCAAAAAGAATTAAATCAAATTAAAGAAGAAAAGTCTAAATTAATAACAGATTTATCAAATGGTAATGATGGACTAAGTAAATTGAACGAAGAGATTGAAACAATAAATAAAGAAAAAGAAGGAATTAGAAAGGAACTTGAATCATTAAAAGAAGAAAACAATAAAATTCAAGATGAGTTAGAACAAAAGAATCAAGAACTTTCAAAAGTTAAAGAAGAAAAAGAAAAATTAATACATGACCTAACAAATGGTAATGATGGAATTAATCAATTAAATGAAGATTTAAATCAAATCAAAAATGATAAAGAAGAGTTAACTGAAAAGAACGTTCAGCTTCAAAATGAAATTAATAAATTAAAATCTGAAAATGAAGAACTTTCAAACAATCTTTCATTTGAAAAAGAAGGATTAAAACAAGTTAATGAAGAAGTAAATGCTATTAAAGAAGAAAGAGATGAGTTAGTTAAACAAATTAAAAAAATAGAAGAGGAAAAAAGAAAAGTAGAAGAAGAATTAAATTTCAATGGAAGCGAAGTTAATGAACAAATAGCTCAAATAAATAATGAAAAAGAACAACTTAATCAAGAATGTAATGAATTAAAACAAAATTTAAAAGAATTACAAAGTAAGATAGAAGAAATTGAACAAGAAAAAGAAAGTAATGAAATTAAAAAGAAAGAAGAATTACAAGAATTACAAGAAGAAATTACTGAAAAAGATAATGACATCAAAAATCTGAAAGAAGAAATAGAAAGAATAGAAAAAGAACTTCAAGAAAAAGAAGAAGATATGGAACAAATGAGTAATAATACAGAAGAACTTGAAGAATTAAAGAATAAACTTACAGAAACACAACGTTTATTAGAAGAAGAAAAGAAAGAAAAAGAGTCTATTTCTAATGAATTTGAAGAAACAAAAGAACAAGTTCTTGTTGAATTACAAAGAGTTAATAATGAAATGAATAAAATGAATGAAATTAAACAAGAAGATGAGAATGAAAAAGAAGAATTACAAGAACATATTAATAAATTAAAGAGTCAAATAGAAAGAGAAAATGAACAATTAAAAGAAGTTAGTAAACTTAAATGGGAATTAAGTGAATTAAAAACAGAAAATGAGAGTATGAAACAGATGATTATGAATAAAAAATCATTGTTAGACAATACAGATGATTTTATATTAATGAGTTTAGAATATTTATATTTTGATTCAGTTTGGGTAACATTAAAAATGGAATTATTAGACGAAGAAGACTTAGATGATTCAATTGGAGACAGACTAGGAATTAATACATTGAAATTATTTAAAATATGTTATAATTCAACAACGTTCAACAATTACAGAGATTGGTTGTTACAATATATAAAAGGAGAAATTTCAATTTAATTGATTTTTTTTATTCATTTTAATTGTTTAAATGAACAAAATAACAAAAACAAATGAGTTAAAATATAAAATAAAATGAAATTAATTCATTATAATTCTTCTTTGTTCTTTTCTTTATTTGTTAAATCATTTTGTTGATTACTTTCTTGATTTTGTGTATTTTTATTTTCATTCTCAACAATTTCATTTGCTCTAATAACAGCAACTATTTGTTCGACACTTTTTCTTAATTGAACTACTTCATTATTATTTAAAATTAATTTAAATTGACAATGAAGATTAATTTCATTAATAACTTCTATTGGATCAAAACTAGTTATAGGTTTTATAATGATATGAGTTTTATTAACATCTTTAGTAGCAAGTACAATAGTTGGATATGAAACAATTTGTTCTACTGGAATAATGTCATCTTCTTCTATGTCTAATACACCAAATTTGATTGGAGTATTTTCAAATGCTTGATATATTCCTTTCATTACAGAGAGAATATATTCTTGACATTTAATAAATGAAAATGGACATATAACAATAGCAGCATCTTCTTTGGTATATTCATCATAAATATCAGAAGTAATAATTGGTGGTTGATGTGAAAGAAGTTGTGGATTAGATGTTCTATGTTTCTTTTCTGGTTGAAGTTTTCCTGAAAAGAAATTTTCAATAAAACTTTCAACACTTTCTTTTGTAATTTCAGTACTTTCATTCATTGAATATACTTGTAATCCAAAACTAATTGAAATACATGGATATATTTGTTGACTATGTCCAGCTAATACTTTTGATTCTTGTGCTCTTTCAGTAACAAAAGGAAGTTTTAATTGATATTTTTTAGCTATTTCTTTCATAAGAGTTGATTTTAACATTTTAGTATCATAAATATAATGTAATATTGGTGTTTCTATTTGTTCTAATAGATTTTGAATTGTATTTAATGAAGAAAATAGTGGAATAAATCCTAATAATAATTTATATTCCAATATTGTTTGATTTCTTTCTAATTCAAATTCTAATGAATATTCATCTTCTTCAGATGTAATTGAATTAATTACTATAGTTGGTTTTTTATATTTATCACTTATAATATAAATAAATTGTTGTTTAAATCTTTTAACATCATTAGAAATATATTGTAACATAGAATGATACTCTTGTTCATCACTTCTACTTGGGAAATATGAAGTAATAAGAACCATATTATTGGTTCTATATGACTTAATTTCTTCTTCATTTTTAACTTCAATATATGTTGGTTCTAACATATTTTTAACCCATTGTTTAATATTACCATATTCATACATTCCATATAATGACCGATATTGTTTACCATCTTTGTATAAGATTGAAGTTGGTAAAACGGTGATATTTTGTTTTTCACATAACTCAATATCTTTATCTTCACAAATCACTGCACCAAATGGAATATCCATAAACATAGATAATTGATTAAACTCACGAGTATAATCAACACAAAATGGACAATTCTTACTGATTGTAAATTTAACAAAAATATATTGATTTTGTTTTAATGCTTCTTCAAAATTAGTATAATTAAGATTATACAAAGCATTAGACATTTGTAAAATAAAAAGAATTAAAATCAATGTCATAATACACTGACTGTTCAAAGATTTAAAGTATTCTTAGTTCATTTCTTGTTTAGACTCAAAACCTTTTAATGTTATTTTAATAGTAATTCTTATTAAAAAATAATAGTAAATTAACACTTTATTGGTCGTTGTTTAAAACACTCTTTAGGAATATTTCCCATCCCTGAAAGTTGTGAACAATTACCAAAACAAAACCTCTCAAAAACTTGTACAGAAGAAGGAATAGTAATGGATGTCATTGATAAACAATTGTAAAAACAACCATCTCCAATAGATGTCATTGTTGTTGGTAAAGCAAGGTGTTTCAAAGAAGTACATTTTTCAAAACAACTTCTACTTAAAAAACGGAGAGAACTAGGTAGAGTTAATGTTGTTAATGAAGAACACTTTTCTAAACAACTTCTTCCCAATGAAGATAAAGAAGAAGGAAGATGAAGTGATACCAAAGAAGAACATCCACGTAAACAATCAATACCAAGCCAAACCAAATTATCAGGAAACGACAAAGAAGTTAAAGAAACACAATTAAAGAAACAACCATTTCCTATTGAAATTAATGAAGATGGGATTGAGAGAGTTGAAATTGAAGAACATTCTCTAAAACAATTTGTTTCTAATGATGTTATTGAACATGGAAGGTTTATGTAAGTTAAATTAAAACAACGACAAAAACAATCACTGCCTATAGACTTACAACATGAAGGAATTGTTATATTTAATTGATCACTACCCATAAAATCTTCTTGAGTAAATTGAATATTTGGACATTGAACTCCTTGTTTTATCAATTGTTTTGAAACAAATAAAGGAATATTAGCATAACATACATCCCCATTAAAAGTGAATTGAGCATTTGGATAAATTCCTTTAAAGGCATGACTGCCTATTTCGATGAGTGATGATGGAAGATTAATTTTCTGAAGTGAAGAACAATTGTCAAAAGCATACATACCTAATTTGTGTATTGGTGGAGAAAGAGTAATTGAAGACAATTGGGTATATCCAACAAAACAACGTTCATGAATACTTTTAATAATATTTGGAACAACGAAATTGATAATTGGTTGAGAGGTTTGAATTGAGTTGATGTCATGATGTTTTAATAAGACATGACGAAATGACATATTATTTTTCCACATTAATTTAAATTGAGCATAAGTGATTGGATAATCTACAATTGTTGTATCAATACCATTGATTAGTTTATCATTAGGAGATAATAATCGTAAAGAATTGAGATTTGAAAAAAGATTTGAATCAGAAATAGAAACAACATTTTCCTTTCTTGAAGTGATATTGAGACGAAATCTCTTTGAAACAAAACAAAGATTAATCAGACATTGGAGATTATTAATTTGATTAATAATACAATGGACATTATTTAAAGGTAGCATGATAATTTATGGTATAATTTAAGTTAGTATTTTTCAAAGAAAAGTTTTTTTTTTAAGAAAAGAAGAAATTGATGAAATTGAAAATACATACCATTATAAAAGCTAAATATAATAATAAAAAAGCTAAATTAGCATTATACATAACCATTTAATGTGCTTGATTTTCAGCTCTTAATTTTCTTGCTAATAAGATAATTTGATTTTCCCATCCTTCATGTTCAAATCTATCAATCATAAATTGTTTGTATTGTTGTTCTGTAGGATTAGGTGGTAACTGTGGAATTTTTGGTTCAGGAGGTCCTTGCTTTTTAGCAATTTCTACCCATTTAGCTTCTTCTGCTTTTTCTTTTCTTCTACGTTCTTCAACTGCAGGATCAACTTTTCTTGGTTGAGGTCGTTGTTGTACTGGTGCTGGTTCAGGGGCAGATGATCCACATCCCATTTCTCTTAATCTTTTGACTCAGTTTTTTAAGATGATTTTTTAATTATTAAAATTTACATTAAAAGTTTATTTTTACTGTTTTCTTTTTTAACTCTTTAGAAAAGAACAAAAATATATATTAAAATAAATAACAAAAAATAAATAACAAAATAATTGAAAATCAATTCATTTAATTATGATGATAGTTTACAATTTAAACTAATGTTCTTTAACTTATATGTTTAAAAGATAACAAATAAAATGAAATATGACTTTAACACCACACTATTCTAAAATAATGTGGGATGCATCATACCTAGTTAATTTACCGAAGTTATGACTCAATCACTAACCATTTACACCCTTTTCAAGGCAATTGGTTCTGCATTAATCATAATGATTAAAATCGAACCGGCATAGTAGATCTTAAGACTTCGGAATAATAAAGAAAAGATAAAAAAGATGGGTTTAAATAGTATGGGTTTAGGAAAAAAGTTATAAAGATAAATTTTTAATAATAAATTATAATAACTTTAAGTCTTAGTTTTATAGAGAATAATACTAACAAATAAGACTTAATGACTATGGAAAGTGATGAACAACTAAAAAAGGAAATTGAAGAGCTCAAACAATTAAATCATAGAGTTGATGAATATTTAATGAAAGTTTCTGAATTTATTGATAACAATATTTTAGATTTTCCGTTTGGTGTTTTGATCTGAGTTTGTTTAACATGTTTTTATGATTTAGCAATGAAATAGTTAAGTTGAGAAAGAGTATTTATGAACCTACTCTTGAAGAAGAAGATGAGGATGGTGAAGATTCAGATGAAATGAAAATGGAAACAGAATGATTGAGTAATTGATAAGAATATGTTAAGGTAATGTATTTTTCACAAAACGATAATATAATTTTATAGAAAAGAACAATAAATAAGTTTTTTTTTTCAATATTAAATACTAATTCAAAATAAAGAACAACGACAAGTTAAAATAAAAAAAAAAACAAAAGAAATATGAAGATTTTTATTTATCATATTTTTTATGATTTGAACTTTTTAATTTTAATCTCTATCTCATGGCTAATCAAAGTCTTCTTGATAATCAACTTCATATTATAGGGGAGACTAAATTTAAAGAATTTAGTGTGATTAATAACTTTTGGACAAAACAACATGATTTTATTAAAGAATGGAATGAAGTATATAATACAATGAATAAAGTATTAAGAAAAGAAACAGATTTAATAGAAGCAACATTCTATAATAATTCTGTTGGATTTGTTCCAGAAGATGGAGAAGTTATTATTAGTGCATTGAGTTATATCAATAATTCCACGCAAATGTTTGCTTCACATGTCTCTGAATTATTCAGTGGTGTATTAGATTCATTAGATATGAAATTCAAAGAAATAGAAAAGGAATTTAAATCTGCAGGATATTCACAAAAATGTTTGTTTTATTATAAAATATATCTTTGTCTATAAAATTAGAGGGGTTAAATATTTATATTTAATAGCAAAACAAGGGGATATAGTGAATGAAAAAATTATTACATTGTATCATAGTTTATCAACAACAACATCATTGACAATAACAAAAATGTTTACAGATATGTTAGATAATTATTATAAATACTTTGGAATGGGGATTACTTTTATTGAAGAAAGTGATAAGTTTAAACGAATGAAGGAAACGATTAATAAGAGAATAACTGATGAAAAACTTAAATCACAACCTCAAACAGTCACTTATGCTAATGTTCCTATTTCTGCTATTCTTAAAGAAGAAAATAGAACTACAAGAGATCTTCCAAGAGTTATAGAAAATATTCATATGTGTTTAATGAAAAATGGATTAAATACTAAAGGAATTTTTCGTGAATCAACAGCTACTGCAAATGTTATTCAGGAAATTTATATGAGAATGTCTGTAACAAACTTTCTTGAATTACCTCCTGACGTTACTGCTGCAGTTTATAAAAAGTTTTTAAGAGAATTACCAAATCATATTTTCAATCAATCACAAACAATGGAATTGGCTGAACGCATGACAACTATCCAAAATACTGGAGAAAGTAGTATTGAATTAATGAAAAATGCAGTTGATCAATTACCTGAAGAGTTAAAAACATTATTCATTCATTTACTTCGACTATGCTATAAAATTGCTCAAAATGAAAAAATAAATTCAATGGGGTCTAAAAATCTCTCTGTATGTTTAACACCTTCTGTATTTTCTATTTCAGAAGGTGAAAATGGACAATATGCACTTCCTTCATTATTAAATTTATTAACAAATTACATCAATCATTTTAATGAACTATTTCCTAGATATGCTGATCCAATCAATCAACAAAAAGTACCTCGTATTTCTATGGTTGGTGGAAGAACTCCACAAAGATCAACTGCTTCTACAGAAACAAATAAATCAATTCCTCAACAAACTCATGGTAATTCAAATAAGCCTCATCAAGAAGTTCTCTCTCAAAACACCTCTCCATCTATATCAATAAAAAAACCAATTCCACAACATCCAAAAGTAGATGTAGAACAGCATAAAACATCTAGTCCTGTTATTGTACAAAGAAAGGCATCATCAACAAGTTTATTACCAACACAAAAGAAAACAACATTAACAAGACAAACAATTAATCCTAGAATAATGAAAAAATCAACCACTGAAACAAATGATGATGGAAGTGAATTACAAGAAATACTTTCTAAAAGAAGAAAAGCTATGGATTATTAAGAAAATGATGTGTATAAATAATGCTTAAAATAAATAAAAAAAAAACAATATAGATTATGGTTATTATTTTATTGAACAAGAAGAAGTTCCATTATCTTTTTGACATAATTGATTTGCTAATGAAGTACATGGAAAACAATGATTTAATGATGAATTTGATAGTACATTACAATAAGCACATTTTGGATCTATGCAATGAGAATTATCTAAGTCTTTAGCACAATTATGTAAATTAATTTTTGGATATTTAACTACAATATACCCACTACAGATTGCATCAATATGAATTTCTATTGTACTTTGATTATTATATTCAATAGATTTAATAATTCCACTAATCCTAGGTAAATGCCCTACTTTATCATAACTTAATGAAATTCCATCAGGTAATTCTGGGTCACATCTAAATTTTGGATTAAAACAATTCCAAGATACAGGAAGTAATGGTAAATCAATATCAATATTTTCAGTTATAACAAGATCATATGTGGTGAGTAGTTTATTCATTTCTAAATTTTCATTAAATGGTTGATAAACCATTGATAATACTAATGATGCAATTCCTATTGCCTGAACTAAAACTAATGGAACTAGTAAAAATTGAGTTGGAACACAACTTGGAGCATTATTACTAATAAACATAGTAAATGATAGTGTTAAAAATGCTGCAAGACTATATAATCCAACAAAAATAAATACATATTGTCCAATAACCATATTACTTATAGCACAGTCAAGAAATAGTGAAAATAGAATAAACCAAACAACATAGTGTTGAATTTTCCAACCAATAAGTGAAGGAATAAATGATTTTCCTTCTTTTAAGAAGACTTTAATATCTTTCCAATTTAATGCCACAGCAAACCACAAAACAATCGTTAATGTTCCAAAGAATGAAATAAGGAAATAAAATGATCTAAAGATAATTGGAATAACTATTATAAAAAATGTTGAAAAAAGACATGCAAAAAGAATAAATGGGGGTGGACCTAATAATGTCCTAATTTTATACCATATTGGATTTTCTTTTTTCTTTTTATCAACCTCTTCTTCTAATTGAATTTGTTCTTGTAATTCTTTATTTTGATTATCATTTTCTGTTTTTAATTTATATAAATGTTCCATTGCTTTATCAACTCGTTCTTGAAGTTCTAATATTTCATTATTTTGATTTTTATATTCTTCTACATTTTGATTTAATTGTTTGAGAGATTCAACTAGTATTGGTAAAATACCTTGTGTATCAATGTATAATCCTTGTGTGTCTTCACGAACAAGGTCTGGTAAAACTTGTTTTAATTCTTGTGCAATAAATCCATATTTTCTTTGTTCAGTTCCTTTATATTTAAAAGTAACTCCTCTTAATTGCATAATAAGATCTAATGAATTGTTAAGATTAGCAATATCTGTCTTTGTTCTTTGGTCTGATCTTGTTAAAAATCCATTCTCAGCAAATATTTCACCAATTACATGAAGTTGTTTTAATGCTTGACTCATTTGAATAATCTCAATAAAGTTTTGTTCATTAATACTATCTTCTGTATTATTTTCTTTAATTGGAATTTCATTATATTCTATTGGATAAGAATCATTCATAGTAATATTAATATTATTAATATTATTGTCTTGATTCAAAAAACCACTTGGCATTTGTTCTTCAATAACTGACAATTCAGATTTATTTGATGTTTTCATTTCAAATTCAAAAGGATAGGGAACTTCAACTAATTTTGACATATACTTATCACACATAACCTTTATTGAATCTTTATTTTTAATGTCCTTGTAACATGACGCTAATTCATTTGTTCTTACTGATTGTTCATATCT